GTATGGGATTAACGAGGAGCAAGGAGCAAGAGTAGGAGCAAGGAGTAGAATCAGGAGAAGGAGCTGGAGCCCGGGTGGCACAATAAAATAAAAGCTTAGGCCACAAAAGCGGCAGACAACTAACTACGCATAAGCGAGGATGACGACGCAGGATATGCGCTTCAAACGCGTTAAGCTGGGCCTGCAAATAGACTGGGGGCGTTGTTGGAAAGAGGGTGAGGAGTGGAAAAACCGTTGGTAAAAGAGAAAGCCGCCGGCTCACAATTGAGAGCTGAACGCAGCTGATAAACTTGGAGTGCCTACAATGCGGAAAATGTGGGAAAGGTGCTGCTGGGAATGAATCTCAAGGACACAGCCGAGTTTGTATATATGTATATATGTGCGGCCTACGCATATTTGAGTGCTTTCTCTCTCTCTCTCTCTTTCTGACGTGCATCCCATTCTCTCTTCCGGTCTGGCACAGACGGTGGCGTATACGTAATGTGTTGGTTTGTGCTACCAACAAAATAAAGCATACGCAACGTGTTTCCCTCGTCGTCGTCGTAGCCGCTGTTGATGACGTTAAATTTTCGGGACTCAGGCGGAATTCATCGAAAGTTATGCCACAAAAAAATGCGTTCTTGTCTCCTAAACAAATACCACGTGGCCTCACTCGAAATAAAGGATCCTAGATAGGTTGTGCGTGTGTGTGTGTGTGTATTTTGAGCCTTGCTATTTATTTTAATATGCCCCAAAATAAGTGACAACATAAGAAATGTGTTTGATGACAGCTTCAGACATTTATGCGCATTTATGCTAAACTGTTTGATTTCAATTTCAAGGAAAATTTATTTTTTTTTGCAGAGGAGAAATATTTGTTTGGTTGAACTTTGACGTTTTTGGTGCTTTTAAAGGTATTACTAATGTACTGCCTATGTTTTTTTTAGGTTTTTATATGAAATATATAAATATTTGTAATATGAATAAAGTTTATTAAAGGATTCTAAGTCAGCAATTTGGGGCTTTTATACGTACTCCTTTTAAAACTAGGTGGATTCAAAGAGGAAGTTATTTGAAATTCTTCTTGATTACATTAAACAATGATTTTATATTTTATCGCTCTATTTTCTATTTAATTATTAAGGAAAATTAAGTATTCATATACATAGTTCATAAATTAATCATTGACTTTTTGAAAGAAACCTAACCTTGACATATTACTAGAACCTATGACAATAATTGTATTGCCATTCCGTACATTTTTTCAAACCACCTCAAAGTTGTTAAGCACTTTGAATATGGTTTAACATATAGTAGATATAATATATATAATAAAGTATTGTTAATCCAGACATTCGATTGCTGCAGCCGGCAGAAGCACAGCCACGGCAACAGCAGAAGCAGCAGGAAAACAAGGGCAAACAATAAAGTAAACAAACAAACAAACACGCAACGAGGCAGACGCACACATGACAGCCAGGACGGTCGATGGATATGGATGTGGATGTGGATGGTTGATCAGGGATGGGGAATCCAGGGGGATACAAGGGGAAGGCCTCTAGACAGCCAGACCTGCATTAAATAAATATGTGCGTAATAAAAGGCAAATAAAAAAGAAGGAAGGCAAAGCAGAAAAGCTGAAAAGAGCAAACCAATTGAAGTGTGTCGCGCCAATCGAGCCACAACAACCACACACACACACACACACTCACTCACACAACAATTGCAATTTGTATTAATTTTATTGGTTTATTATTATGAACGGCGACGTAGCCACCACGATTGATGCCATCAGACAGTGTTTAAACGTTGTTCGATTGAAAGCGAGTTAATTTCATTTACTGATTTGTGGGTAGCCTCCATTGGAGGGCAGGAGGCGGAAAGCAGAAGGAGATCACGCTCTGTAATCCAGATTGCCAGGCCCATTCATCGACTTTCTGGGTCGCAATCAGTGGTTCTCGTTCGATGAACTGCACTTGCCCTGCGTCTGCGATAACGCACTGTCACAGCCAAAATTTCAAATGCCAATCCGCACGTGTCGCCGCTTTTTTTCTGTATTCTTCCAGCAAAAGCCTTCGGAGTCATTCACTGATAGCTATGGTTTATCTTCAACAAGTTTTTTTGTTAATTCAAACTAAAGTGCAGTTAGCTGAGTAAGTAGCTGGGTTAGTCATGAGGTAACTGGCTAAAATGTAGTTAAATGACTTCGTTTTCTACTGTTACTATAAATGTGTTAAATTTGAGTGCTTTCACATCTTTTTTAAAAGCCTAAAGCGTTTGCTTTAAAATAAATTCCATTCAATAAAAACAATTTCATTCATTATTGAAAAAAAGATAAATATATATATATGTATATTGTAGGAGTTTTTGTTTCAATTAGGTACATAATATGAAAAATTGAAACCTTTTAACTTCAAACTTCGGGTAAAAAAAATATTTGTTCTGTTAAAATTATTATATGTATTTTCTTAGACATATTATGCTTAAAGTGAAGCACCAAATACTCCGAATTGCAATTGTAATTTAAAATAAAATTACTGAATTTTTACTCATTATCATATTTACCCTATTATCTGTAAGAAATCTTTGAAGTTCTTAGAAAGTCTCTGAAGTTAAACTTTATTAGCCTTGTTCTAAATTATAAAATTTAAAAGTGATAAATAAAAATGTTTTTAAATTAATATCGCATATTTTGAATAACAACTAACCACATAACATAATAAAATATGTTTTAGCAACTCGAATGACCCTGCTCCATATCGCTGCTATTCCCCTGATGATTTCACAAAAATGCCAACCGGCCAGTTATGATGATATGGCCAGACGATGCCAAGGGCGTGCGAATACATTCCCGCTGACTCAAGTTAGTCGCACCAGATCGACCGCCCCCATTACCCTCATTACACCCCCCCAGTGCACCCCCCTCCGAGGTCCGGCGTTATCGTCTGCCCATGCCCGATCGTTGCTCCGCTGCTGCGTTCATTGAACGCACTTTCGGCTCTCGACGCACGCGTCGTTAACAAAAAAAAACACAGAAAAAAAATTACAAAAAATTTAAAGAAAAATAAGGGAAAAGAAGCTCTGTCTCCGGATACTTGGCTGTGTATATACGCGTGCATAATACAATAATAATTTCGTTTTACAAAATGAACAAAAAATAAAAAAAAAAAACAAGAGAAGTACACAAAATAAGCGCAGCCAATGGCCGCGACAGAAAGGAGATGAAGGAGGAGGAGTAGGAGCTGGAGGAGCTAAAGAAACTTGCCCAGACAGCGATCCCAATCCCGATCAATGCACCTTTGCCAAAGGTGCAACGCCTCGAAAAGTCGGCTCTTTATATTCCAGTACATGGCATATAGCCATATGCGACTGTGTGAGTTGTCTGGGCATGCAGTGACGCACGAAACGCGATCACGTTCGCATTTATTAAAAGATGGTTGCTGTTGCACCGGCGATTCAATGGTATGGCATGGCTTGGTATATAAGATGGTGTGGTATGGGGGACTCTAGAGAGGTCTCGAACTTGAATTCGGACTGCAACTGAGACGGCTGCTGGAGACAGATGTGGGTAACATTTGCTGGGCTAGGCAACAAAACATGGGCACTCGAAAGAGGAAAACTATGTAGAGATTGGAAACGAACTTTTAGATACACTTTTAAGTCGTATTTTGAAGAATATTTTGGTTGAGATATGTAGTTAACCATACCTTTTATTATAAGTAGCACTTAGTCATATAAAGAAGTATTTTTTAAAAAAGAATTAGCTGGTTATAAGTTCAGATTTCTCAGATTTATTCTACATTCACACTTAAAAACTTCCTTAACATGTGTAGCTTTTAAAGCTAAAAATGTGTACAAAATAAATAAATTTTCTAAGTATTTAAAAAAAATCTTAATTAACCTTATTCCATATGAACTTTGGTAACCTCCCCATCAAGGGTATTAAAATCCGGGTAAGGGAGCAAAAAACTTGACCAACATGTGGTTCTGGTGGCTATTTTTAGACGCCTCGCTATCTGTGCGACTGACTGGCTGGCCATCTTCCTGCTGCACTCCAACCAGATGCAGACATACTCACTTCCCCCCAAACTGTATCCCATTTGGAGTTGGAAAGAAGATGAAGGCAGGACAGGGGCAATGGTCGGGGCCTTGGTTCATTAACTGGGACCGAGTTTTAATCAGATTTGTGCGTGAAGTTCGGCACTCACCCGCGGCCACTGGCAAGATGCAACAAGAAATGGGAGGGCTTTCTGCTGCACCAACCATCGCTCTGTTCTGCAACAATATTTTAATGGGAAAGTCTTACAAAACGTCTCTCGCCTGGAAAGGCAAAACAAAAACAAAAAAAAAAAGAGAAGTCTTTATGTTTTCGAACCAGTTCCAGACATCTGCGGAAGCGTGGCACTATAAACAATATTCTTTTAATTTCTGTTGCCTCGGCTTTCTGGTCTCGTCTCGAAGATTTCGCGGCAGACAAATTTATGAGCGTTAAGTGAAGGCCAATAAAATTCTTTTTGTCTGGAGTGTATTTTTGTGGCCGGGACTGCCACTTCTTCTGGCCAGTTTTATTTCCATTCCACCCCTTCCCTTCTTCTCCTTCTAAACTTCTCGGCCAGGCCTCACTTAAGTCATCTCTTCCGCGGGGCACATTAATTTCACGGATTCTCGTTCGTTTTTTGTCTGGTTTTTTCTCCTGTTTGTTTGTTTTATTTTTTATTTTGCAGAGGGAATATTAAAAAATATGTTAATTCAAAAATTTATTAGAAATATGTTTGGGATTTTTATATATAAGGAACATCCTTGAGAGCATCCACAAAGAAATCCAAATTTAAGGCACTAAATTTTTGTTTTTCAAATAAGAAAACCATTTATTTCTTAATTGCAATAATTTTAAGTATTTAAAGGTATTTAAAGTTAATGACAGCTATATCATTAGCATGTGTATAAGCCATGAAATTTGTTGATAACAACAATAAATACCACAAACATATGACATGTTTTAGTTCCTAAACTCTGCTAAGATGTGGATGTTCAAAGTGATATTAAGCTGCTTAGTGACTGTAGGACACATTCTATTATATATCATATAAAAATAAATATAATCATATAAAATTTTAATCTCTTAAAGTCTTCTTTAGCTCATGTGAGCTTTACCAATCTGAAGTGCGAATCGATCGACAGGGAGTTTGGAAATTTCGAAATCTGTCGGATCAAGGCTGTGAATCGCAGCCACAAGTATATAGATCTGGAATTCAAGATAACTAAACTTCCCCTTAATGAAATGGTGGTAAGTATAAGTCTACAAGACATAGTTTTTACAACTTAAAAACCGTTTTTGCCATAAAATACAGATCAAAGTAGAACCTATGCGTTATAATAATGGCTATAGACCTGTCCTTTCCACCATGAAGGTCGATTTTTGCAAGTACATGAAGAATCCAAATGCAAGATCTTCGTTTTTATTAAAGGAATTCCACGCGACTTTCATTAATTCTACAAACCTAAATCATACTTGTCCTTACAATGTGAGTTTATAGGAAATATATAAAAACTTATACTTACTATTATTCAAAATTTAGAATGATATTTCCATTAAAAAATTATGGACTGGCAATCTGGAAAAGGGCTTCTTACAATATCTTCCCGTACCGCATGGAGATTATGTCATTCATACAACTTGGTATTCCCGAAATATACGTCGTGTAAAAGTCAGTACATTCTTTAAAATAACATAATGATGTGTAATAACAAATATAATAAATATAATATATATAACATAATAATGAAGTTTTTATGGATATCATTTTTATGAGTAAAAAGTAATAAAGTAAAACTGATGGTAAACACCAAATGATGATGAAATAGAAATGAAATGTATATTAACTATTGTTGCAGGCGGTCACACTAGCATGTAAAGAAACAGTCACATTACTTTACACCTATACACACTTAGTTGTAAGCACAATGTATTTCCCTCCCTTACTTATGTTTAAAGCTTATAGTAGCAAACACTATATGTGTCCTGTTCGCACGACACCGAACATGTAGAAACTACACAGAATAGAACAGCTGGGCACAGGACAGAACGGAGCAGCACGTGATTGAGACGCCTACACTATATTTAACTCACTTTAACATATAATTTTATATATAGCGTTTTATAGCGTAAAACTTAATAAAAAGTTATTACTTTATCTAAAAATTTGAAGTTAAAAGAAGTTTTTTCTTGTGTATTCTAAACGAAATATTCTTTATGACCAAGCTAATTAGATCAAAAAACATTTCTAGATAAAAATCTACAAAAATGTTAATTTACCAAGCCATTAGTTATTAAAGAATTTTTGTATACATTCAAGTGAATAACATTATACATTGTTGGCTTTCGTTCGAAAAGGAACAGATCACCATGCGAATGGTTTTTTACATAATAACTATTCTGGGATGTATACCGGTAAAACTTTATTAATATTCCAGTATAGTAAAGTAACTCTCCTTTAACTACCTAGGCCATTCACAGCGATGTGATGTTCACCAATCTGAAATGCGGCATCATGGACAGAAAGTTTGCCAGCTTTAAAAAGTGCTACATAAAAGCGGTCAATCGTACCCATAAGTACATCGATGTACATGTAAATCTTTATCAAACACCAATAGATAATGTGACAGTAAGTTCAGAGCCAAAATCTAAAAAAGATTAAAATTTAACTTGACGGCAATTTACAGGTCCATGCCAAGCTTATGCGACATGATAATCATGGCTATAAGCCATTTTTCATAGATGTCACCTTCGATGGCTGTAAATTCCTGAAAAATCAACGTCAACCGATTGTGAAAATGCTGTACGAAATGTACAAGAATAGCTCTAACGTCAACCATACTTGCCCCTATGATGTAAGTGATTCGATCTAAGTAGATGCATAATCGTATAAATATATATCCTATATCTTAGCACGACATTATCTTGGACCACCTTTGGACTGGAAACATTGAAATGGATATTGCAAAATACATTCCCATGCTAAATGGTGATTATGCAGTCTTTTCCGAATGGTCTACATATAACATTGCCAGGGCGTTTTTTAATGTTTACATAAGAGTTTCCAATAGACAAAACTAGACTTGCAAGGTTGTCAATAAGAAATTGTAAAATTTAAAATAATTTGCTTTTAATAAAGAATCATTAAGCTGAATGAGCACACGAAACTGACAACGTTTTACCATGTAATTACAGGCCCTGAATATTGGAAATATTATTCAAATTTAATTTAATTTCTATATAAAAATATAAACTTTACGAGTTAAAGTACAATATCAGAACATCAAAACTTCATTTGCACATCAATTAAATAGTATTATTATTGATATTAGAAAGTCTTTTTTGTAATTTCACAATTTTTAGTAAATGGCCTTTCGTGGATATGCTTTACCTTGGAAAATTGAGAATTTTTTATCTTAAATTTTCACTTATGTTGATATTAACAACTTTTATAATTATTTAAAATAGCTTACTAATTTATTTTATTTTTCTTTAGAGCAAAATTTGTCACTGTTGTGCACTTTGCACTCCGTAATCCTAATGTGCGGATTGAAAAAACATAAACTTCAAAAAACCATTACACTTAAAGCATATTTTAAAGCATTTAAAAATCAATTAAAAATATTAACAGCCCTTCAAATTTAAAAAATAGCAACAGGTAATTACCCCTACCATTCTCAATAGTTCATTAGGCGAAACCACAGTGGGTAAAATCAGACAGTCAATAAATAGTATTATTATTCATAGCTTTGATTACGCCAGCGAGGGAGTACCATGCGGGTGTTTCTTCTAATTATAACTATTTTGACATATTTAACGGTAAAATATTAACAAAAATCAAGTATAGTTTGGTAAATCTATTCCTAATACCCAGACAATCCTCAGCCATGTGATGTTTACCAACCTAAAGTGCGGTACAAAGGACAAGAAGTACCTCGACTTTAAGAAATGCAACATCAAGGCGGTGAACCGTACCCATAAGTATATAGATGTTCATCTGAATCTTTATCAAAAACCTATAAATAATGTCACAGTGAGTTCAACAGAAATATTAAATAAGTATTGAGCTTGGACTTTCCCGCAATTTACAGGTCCACGCCAAGTTAATGCGGCATGATATTCATGGCTATAAACCATTTTTCGTAGATGTCACCTTCGATGGCTGTAAGTTCCTCAAAAATCAACGGCAACCCATTGTTAGAATGTTTTATAACATTTACAAGAACAGCTCTAACATCAATCACACTTGTCCATATGATGTAAGTAATGTGATCGAAAAAATTATACTTTCTAACAATCAAAATGTTCCAGCACGATATTATTTTGGATCATATGTGGACTGGAAATATTGAAACGGATTTTGTGAAATACGTTCCCATGATTAATGGCGACTATGCCATTTTTTCGGAATGGTCTACATATAATGTTGTTCGGTTTTTTTTGAATGTATACATAAGAATATCAAACAGCCGCAACTAGACCGTAAAACTGTAAAACTGTGAAGCTGTAAAACTGTATACATAAACTTGTATTTACTTGATTACTTTTATACTGCCAAAACCTTACGATTGGAGTTTTGCATTCACACTGGTACTTATTTACTCATAAGGGGTATAGTACAATCGTTGAAATATATGTTGTAGATAAAAGAAATTAAATCCGAACCCCTAAAATGTATATGTCCCGGTTGGGATTTGTACCGCGGTTTATTTCGTCTTTGTTTATGTTCGGATTCATAATAGTCTCTTTTCAAGAAATTACTATATACCAAAAAGGAAGTTCTCTTGAGGTTGCTCCTGGTGACTTCTGTTCTGAGTGACTGCCGAATGCTTTTTGTATGACCATGTCTTCATCTTCTATTCCTCCAAGTAATTCAGTTACACTGTCGCCATCCCTTTTACTCTCACTTACTAAGCAACTCAAGGTACAACATACAGCAATATACAGCATTGTCACTTACTCTTTTCATCTCGTTAAAACTATCTGCTCATACTCGTTCTAGAAAAACATGAGAAAGTACCGAATTGCGAACCAACTAGAAACGAAACAACTTATCTTCGTGTCACGTGCCATTTAATATAATGTTTAGAGTGGACCTTAATTTCAGAAGATGTTACGAGATAAGAAGCTTGGAAAGACTTAAATAATGTTTTTCTGCTTTAAGTTAACTCTCTCTCTTAAGTTACTCTCTACACCACCTGCTGGTCAAGCTACTATAAATGTGAAAAATCATTTAAATAAATGCACATTTCATAACGTTTAAAAATCGATCAAAAATATTAATAGTCTGGAATTGTAATTGTTTTTAAATTTTTTGTCTTCCGTAATTACCTATGCATTTATTCATAGGGTTGGTCATTACCAAAAAGCCTGTACCAAAATATTATAAACTTAAAACTCATCCGCGAAAGATCACAATGCGAATATTTCTTCTAATACTAAACATTTTTGGATATCTAACGGTAAAAATAGAGAAGGACATTTAAGTATAGCTATTAAACTCATTTCTACTGCCTAGCCAATCCTTACCCACGTGACATTTACTAACCTAAAGTGCGGTACAAAAGATAAGAACTACGCCGAATTCGGAAAGTGTAGCATAAAAGCTGTGAACCGTACCCATAAGTACATGGATATTCACGTTAATCTGTATCAAAAACCAGTACGTAATATCACAGTAAGTTAAGAAGTCAAAAATCTGAAAACCATTGAGCTGGTAGTAATTGAAGTTTTCCAGCTCCACGTCAAGTTAATGCGACGCGATCATGGCTATAAACTATTTTTCATGGATGTCAAAGTTGACATTTGCATGTTTCTGAAACAACAACGGCAACCATTTATTAAAATGATTTATGATATGTTCAAGAATAATTCCAACATTAACCACACTTGCCCCTATGATGTAAGTAACATAATTTGGAAGTTGAAAAACAGTTCCTAAAAATCTTATAATTAAGCACGACATTCTGGTGGACCATCTTTGGACTGGCAATCTGGAAACCAATGTCCTGAATTACATTCCCTTGATAAATGGCGACTATGCCCTCTTTTCCGAATGGTCTGCTTATAATGTTGTTCGTGCGTTTATAAATCTATATGTTAGGGTATCAGATACGCGGGAATGAAATAAATTAGTAAAAAATGCTGTAAAAGTATATTTTTGTTATATAACTACATTTTCTTATGCGTTTTCCAAGTCTTTTCATAAAAATCAGTACAATTGAGGACTAGTATGAGTCAAAAAGTTAAAAAAATAATAAATTGTGGTGAAACTAACAAAAATGTAAGTAAATAATCTGATGCTATCTTAGTATATAAGTATAGATAAAAGTCATGGTCATTGGTCATTTCGCGGTGCTACAAGCTCATGATACGATATATCACAAATGCTATAACATCATCAAAAACAAAAATATTAGAGATGAATAGTAATCAATGGAAAATCGAACAATGCGGAGGTTGTTGTATATAATAACCATTTTTGGATTTGCAATGGTAAAATTAGAAGGTTTCAGTGGTGATACTACTGGGTTCTATACTACATATTTTAACCCCCTAGGAGATAAGCAGCCATGTGACCTTCACAAACTTAAAATGCAGCGTAAGTGACAAGAAATTTATGAAATTTGAAAAATGCTACATCAAGGCGGTTAACCGCACGCATAAGTACATAGATGTTCATGCTAATCTTTATCAATTACCAGTAGACAATATAATGGTAAGTTTTGTGAAAACTTAAAAAGAAAAATCCTGTAACCAACTTCTTATAGATTAGATTAAGGATGATGCGCAATGACCACGGCTTTAAGCCATTCTTCATAGACATGTCCTTTGATGCGTGCAAGTTCATGAAAAATCAAAAGAATCCGATTCTGAATCTTTTTTATGGATTCTACAAGAAGTCTTCCAACATTAATCACACGTGCCCTTTTAATGTAAGTACTCACTAATCAATTCAGATTAATAACCATTCTAATATGTAAATATACTTAAGCATGACTTAATTGTGGATCATATGTGGACTGGAAACATGGAAACGGAAGTCATGAACTATCTTCCTATAAAGAATGGCGATTATGCTGTGTTTTCGGATTGGTCTACGAATAATGTTCTTCGTGCCTCCCTTCAATTGTATGTACGAGTAACGGAAAATTAAAACCAAATTAAAGATTTGATTTTATCAACTATTCCTGTAAATAGAAATAATAAATGTGAACTATGTATTTCCTTCTAAGTTTCTCCAATTTCTAGAAATTGCCTTAAAACGATTAAAACACGTGCAATACAAATAAATATTTAGAACAATTAAAAAGCCAAAAAGCTTATTTTTACGGTTGTTAGTTGAGTTAATGAGTTTTTGATTTTTAAAATGGTTCAGTTGCCAATGATCGAAAACAGTTCGATTCGAAATGTGGAAGTTGCTGCTGGTAAAATTATGGCTAACTCTGACAATGGTAACCGGATGGTATTATTAAAGCCAAGTATGGTTGATTTACTTGTTTAAACCAGATTTGTATGGGCCACGTAACTTTTACCAACTTGAACTGCAGTTCTTATAACTCGGATTACTTGACATTTCCCACGTGTCGTATTAAGGCGGTCAATCGAACTCATAAGTATATTAATATCTATGTGAAATTCCATGAACTGCCTATTATTAATAGTTGGGTGAGTTTTTAATGCAAGAAAATTACTAATCACTTTCTAAATTACTTAATTTTTGTTGCTTTTAGGTTATTGTCAAGTTCAGACGTTTTAATAATGGTTACAAGCAATTCTTTTTCGATCTTTCCTATGATGGCTGCAAGTTCTTGAAGCAACAGAAAAATATAATTGCCCAGGCCTTCTATAAGACATTTCAGGGCAGTTCCAATATAAATCATACGTGCCCTTATAATGTAAGTTAAGTTATTCTAAACTTGTTTATATGACTATAAAACCTAATTTTTTTAGCATGATATCATCGTAGATAAACTGTTTTCCGGTGATCTGGAGAAGGGTTTTGTGAAATTTTTTCCGATACCAAGTGGAGCATATGCCCTTTACACTGAATGGAGCACTAACAATGTTTCTCGAGCTTCGATTAAAATTTATGTAACAGTAACTGATAAGTAAATCTTATATAAATATGAATATAATTAAGTACTTCATTAACCAATCTACAAATATAAAGCTTTAGCTTTAAGTTCTTTCCATGACCTTAATGACCTTACATCAGGGGTATTCAAATTCGTCTTACGGCAGAGCATTTACTAACAAAAATACAAAAAATCATACACAAATTCAGTGACGCTTTGTGTTGCTTTGCAGCTGTGCACTGAGAGAAAGAAAAACTGTTTTTTTGCTAACCAATCTATCACTCAATTCAACACTCTCGTCGCAGGTCCACTGCGAAATGAACTCCAAAGTGAAAACAGAAGTTATAAGGAATAAATTCCAGTGCAAGTGTTCGAGGATGATCGAGGAAGAAGCAAAAACAAAATACATTGCAGTTGGTGACGGAATGAGGTGGAAAGAGGAAAACGAAAAATTGTTAGTGTAATAGCACAGCGAGAGCTCAAGGCGAGCAAATCGATATGCAGGGAACATTTACAAAAACAAATGAGAGCTCAGAGCATAGACGTTGAGCACCCCTGGTTTACATTATTTAGTTAATTTTTACTTTTGGAGGATATAAATAATAAATGTTTTTAGTCTATTTCCCGTTATATGTGTAAAAAATTTAATGAAAAACACAAATGTAAATCAAGTTCTTAAATTCTTTCCTGTAAATAACGTATTCCTTTTCTGCGCGACCTGTTCTCCCTTTAATTTAATTTAATTTCATTCCCATTTCCTTTTTTTTTTTGTTGGAAAACAAGGTATTTTCCTGGAACTTCTGAAAGCATCACACAAAATAATTCATCAAAAAAGGAACTGTGCGTAAGAGGAAGGTGGGTCCATCCATTAATAATAAATTAAACATATTCCCTGGCATGCTTCTGCCAGTCCCGGCGACACCAGCTCTCCTCTTCAGCCAGACTCTAGAGTTTCTGGAATGGTTATACCTCCATCTCCTCCTCGTTGTTGGGGTTTTTGTTCCCCTAATGACCTAGAATACAAATTCAGGCTACCTCCATTCCCTTACCCCAAAGTCACCGATTAGTGAAATCCCTGGGCTATCAAGGCTGCCAAGTCATCCACAGGCAGTCGCTGAAGCGGAAGCTAATCGCTTGACTAAGTTCCTTAGTTCCCATCCCTCAGACTGACCCAATCTTTAGCGGATTGCGTAATATATACAGGTGCGGTTAGTAGAATAAGAACACTTATCTCCTTGAATATTAAAGAAGTTTTTTAGGCATTTATCAGCTTGAGGATTTTCAAGGAAATATCAATTAAATTATTTAAAAAAATGTAACTTTCAAAAATAATTATTAATTTATAAATAGGGATTTATACAACAATATATATAATTTCTTAATCTTTTTATTAAAGCAACGCAATGAAGCATGTATTTTAGGAATAAATCCTAAGAAGACACTCATCCCTATCCTTCTGACCACAACTGTAAACATGTACATTGCAGATGTCGACGGTCAAGGTGGAAGCTTGTGGCTTCGACTGTTTGTCTGTCGGATTATAAATGATTTGCCATTAATTCTACACAAATGCCAGGGGCAGGCTGGCTGGCTAGCTGGCTGGGTGACTGGCTGGCAAAAAGCAGACAGAACCAGGAGAACATTAACATTTGGCATTGGGCAGGCAGGTAGTCGGGCAGTCAGACAGAAGTGAATAATCAATATCATTTGATTACATTGATAACGCTTTTTTGTGCCGCTTTTTTTTGTTTTTTTCCCCCACGATTGTGGCTTTGTTCTCGGGGTCTCACTTTATCGTACTGCGATTTCGATATCCAAATGCTTTCGTCACTGGCGGCATTGCCGAATGTCTAGACGATAGCTCCATAAATGTATTATTGCCTCATTTTGCCTTTGCTTTTGCTTTCTATACGCTACTCTTAGTCGAAAGCAAATATTGCGGGTATAACGCCTGGAGAATGCGAAATGGTTTACAATGTTGACAAAAGTCAGATATAAATAAACCAGATTCGGAGAATCTAGAAAGTTATTTTCTATCATTAGTGTTAACTAAGCTTTTAAGTACTAAAATAGTTGTTTTATCTTTGGATTTTATCTTACTAAAATCTAACTAACAGGATGATTGTAATGATAAGCTAATGATATAAATATCTAATTTATCATTTTACATAATATATAAAGCTAAAAGGTAGTTTAATCCTAAAATAATATATTAAACATTTTCCTTAAGGAGTGCCAGTTAAGATTTAACTCGATTAGCATTCCGAAAAAGATCGATATCAGATAAGCTCATTGTTAAAGAACGTTAGGTTTATCGACTTCGATTTTATATTTACATTTATAATATCGAAGAGCTATTATGGATGGAATGCTGCAATTATTGTTAATCTTCTTTCTTAATTTAACCTGAGAAGTTATGCATCAGTAAGAATTAACTTTAACGTGAAAACATAGCCTTAGTAGATACAGCAAGTTAACTGGCACTGCAAGAAACAGCATTATAAATACTTTCTATGAACAACACCAAATCAAAACTCTACCCTATAAAATCTCTACCATTCATTCCGTAAGAGTATCTCATCTTTGCTTTGTTAAAACCCTCAAAATCTTAGCATTGTTTTTGGCACAAGATTTTGTTTTTGTTTTTCGGCTGGTGATTTGAATATTATTGAACGTCTGGCTGACGTCGCGACGTCAGAGCTCTGACGTGGATGTGAACGTGAATCGATACGACTGCACCTCATACCCAATGACCAATACCCAATACCCAATACCCAATAGCCAAGATCCAAGACCAAAGGCGGGCCAAAACAATGCAGTCGATGTCTAAGGAAGCCGCAGATGATCAGAGGACTTGAAAGCCGCTGGCGACAGTTGCAGTCGATGCGAAAAAGAAGGGTGTGCATACCGCCAGTATGTGTGTGTGTGCGTGTGTCTCCTTTTTGCCCCTGCGATAATAAAGACAAACAATTTTTTGCTTTTCTGTTGCATATTAAACCGATGAAATGAAGCGCAAACTGATTGTGCTCGTTTTCCTATGGTGGTGGTGGGTTTATGGTCAAAACGATTTGCTGGACATGGCATTAAGGGGAGTTCCCTGGCTCCTGGCCCCCTTCTCTGGGATCAGAAGGATCCTCCCCGAGTCCATTCCCACCTTTCACATGTAAGTGCAGCTCAAGGCGGCAACTACAAAAGCCGGCGACCGACGACAGACGACGATGACGACGACAACGTTTTGAGTATCTGTATCTGCCGCTCCGCCACAGCCACTGATAACAACTGGAGCGGCAAATCAAGAGGGACGATTGTTTGACAAAGTCGAAGATTCCAATACACTATAAGCGAGTGTGTTAGAAAATAATTAAAGTTGTACAAATCAACTTTCAACAACAACGATTATCACTAGATTTTTAAGATTTTTGTAGGAATAAAAAGAACACCTAAAATCAAATTAAATTGAAAACATGAATGTTTGACATAACCTGTAATGTATCAAGGTGTTAAAGCTTAGAAACTTTTATCTTGGAAATTAAAAATTTACTCAAAGATTATCAATGTTTATCTTAACACGCTTTCACTTTTCAAACTTTTAATTTATTTAAGAAGTTTCTTACACCTACATTAAAAAAGTTAAAACAAAATTTCTTGGGCTTGTCTTATATTTATCGTTTATATAGGATTATATATCTAAATGGTATATATCTTAATTCAAAATACGCCTTTAAATACAAAACAATTAAAGAAAAATCACAGCTAAGAATAATATTATTCTAAGCGTTCTAAACTCACAAACTAAAAAGTTAAACATTAAACCCTTCCTTGCAAACCTCTCCATCATACCCTTTTAAAGGGCATGATGAAAACCTCACAAATGAGGTGGTGAAGGGTGGAGATGGGTATGGGAATGGGGATGAGCACCAGGTAACTGCAGCGGCGGCGGCGTCATCAAGAGATTGGCCCAGGGAACTGACACACGCACCGAATGTCGCCTTTCGGCTTTTGAAGTTGCTTATTTTGTTGCAGTTGTTGATTTTTTCCTCTCTTCTTTTTTTTTTTTTGGCTGAGAAGTTTCGGATTGCAAAAGAGCCAGGCAAATGAGATGGTCCTCCCTCCTTGTCAGCCGCCCGTCGGGCGTCTCAGGTGTGTGTTAATTGCATTAAAATGTTTGTAATTGCAATGCAGTCAGCGGCGGCGAGCGAGAATTGCCTGCCTTTCTCTTATCTGCGGGAATCTCTGGGATAGAGTCGGGGCATATAAACATATACCCGTGGATTTATATACATATATATATATGTGTGTAAGTAGGATCAGAGGGGCGTGCAATGCAGACATGCCAAGCTGTCGTCGGGCCAAAAATGCCATAGATGCCGCCAAAGTCGTGTAACTATAATTGCCATAATAACATAATATCTCGGGGCAGCAGCTGCAACAACAACAAAAGCACCGACCGAAAGGTGTCGAGAGACATATTCTCCTAGACATGTTCTCTTCTCCGGCCAAAAAAGGCATCAGAATGCCGGAATGACGAGCGGACAGCACCAGACAATTGTCCCTGTCCCTGTCTCGGTCCCAAAAGCCTCTCCCCCGGACATTATGCCTTGGACCCGAAGGCTGTGGAGGTGACATTTTTCTCATGCCCAACGAAGCGAACAGCCAAATGCAGTTGATGGAGCGCCGCCAGCAGAAGAGGTTACAAAGTGGACTCGGCACAGTGGTTAAGAGAAATAGTTTACTATGTTAGCTAGGTAAGTGTGAACTAATGTTGGTCTGATTTGAGTGGTTTGCTGGCAGAATACTTTTATATTTTAGCATGAAATAAAGAAAACAATTACCTAAGCAACTAAGCATTCATCACTAATATGAATATACTAAATCATTCTCAGAAAGGCAATCAAGAGAAGTAGTTTTAGGCTATAAAAGTACCCAAATAATTCGCTAAAATAACATCTTTATAAAATCAAACAAAAATAATAAGTATGCAATATAAGATTAAAAATAACGAATGCTCTAAGTAATCAAATAAAGTATAAAGGTTAA